CTGTGGTCATTATTAAAAATATTTTTACCAGCCCAGTAATTTTCTTTGAAGATGCATTTTTATAGATTGAACAGCAGCAAGTAATTTACATACTATGATGGGATTGGCTAGCAATCCCTACTATTCTAGAAGAGAGCTGCTTGGCTGCCATGTTGTTATTTGATTTTGGGATACTAAGAAAGCTACAAACACCATAATGTATCTACTCAGGATAAAAAGAAACCACACTGAGTCCTCATGCAGGCTGATGGCAACCACCATTATGAATCATCTTTAAAAGTGGCCTGTGCTGTCTTTACTCTTTCCTGGCTTTAAAACTCTGAGTGTGAGTATACTGTTCTGGTTCTGACCAAGAATCTAACCAACTAAAAGAAATCCAGCCCTCAAAGTCTGCAGTCGCTAATGTGGTGTGACACTCGGGTTTTGGAAGCAGCCACAGCCTCCTCAGCCCACTAGGAATAGGGCCTCGCCCTTGTGGTAAATTGAACAATAAAAGTTTAATGCTTTGGCTATATGCCAGGGATTAAACCATGGCAGGAGAAACTGGAAGCTGGCCCTAGCAGGGGAGAAGCCCCCAGAGGGCCCTACTGCAGAAGTAAAAGGGACATGGTCAACTCTGCCTATAAGATGGCCATCTTACAAAGTGCTCTCAACTTCTTTCCTCTTCAAGCTGGTACAAGGACAACCTAAGGAGGTACTTACTTAGAAGGAGGCCAGAACAGGAGCAAGAGGTTTCCTTGGAGGATAAGGCAAATTTCTGTAGAATGACATCTCTACCATGGCCCCTCGCCTGTCCCTGTTCTGGCTATCTTAAGAGGCTGAGGTCTAGGGAAAAGACAGAGAATGTTGGGAGGAAGACAACAAGAAAGGGGGGAAAACTGTTGGACCTCAGTGCCCAGTCTACCTAAAAGAATACTTCTGGGTTCTAGGGCAAGTGTCAAGGTCAAACTGAACATGGAAGGTGTGTCAGTCATCCCTCTGACCCAGGCAGAGGCTACACCCTGAGCCAGTCAGATATGCATCTGCCAAAGGGAGATGGAGGCTGGAGGAAGGGCTCTCACCTCTAAACCTGTGCAGGAGGTGCTGTGAGATGCTCAATTCCTGGCATTTGTCCTAATTCAGGAGGTAAAACCTCAGACAAAAGCTATAGGCACCAGCTTCTGGTCTCTCTCAAGCACTTCCTATTAACTGCCCATCAGTACAAACACAACCAGTTTGCTATGTTTCAATGTTTCACTTTGCTTTTTTCAAAATTCTTTAATTAAAAAAGAAGCAGCCTTTAAAGTACACTGCTGTTTTAGGCGACAACAGAAGAGTGGAAATAAAAACCAATAGCTTAGGAAGTGACAGGAATTTGGTCTCCGCCCTCTCCCCCACTCCTTGGTTGTTTCTCTAGGTCTCCCGGCTGGTGCCACCTGCTGCCTGGCTTTCCTCTGCAAAACAGAAAATCTCTCAACAGTTTGTCTCAAGCAACATCTGCCCACAGGGCTGGTGAACAAACTAGGGGTCAGCTCTGAGGTAGGAATTATTTCTTTAAGCAGCGAACTGAATCACACTAAATATCCATTTATTGATGATTGAAATGTATGTATGTAAGCTTTTTCCCAGTTGTATCTTTTTTAAAAATCATGGTAAAATATAAAATTTACCATTTTAGCTAGCATTCCCTCCATTGCTTATTACAATGCACAGGCAGGCTGCTAGCCTCAAAATACTCTTACCTCAGCTTCCCAAATACTATGCCCAACTCATACATTTGTAAAAGTTAATTCACAGTAAATGGGAAGAGGTCCATCCATTTACCAAAACCAACCTCTTTGTTGCTTTTTCCAAATCAGTAAACACCTAAAGTCAGTTCACATAAACTTAGAGCAAGACTTTAATACAAATATAGCCTGTGAGCCAAATCATGACCTATAAACTGACATTAGTTATGTAAGTTTTTAATTAGAATATATTATGACATGCAAAACTGATATGTAAAGATTAAATTTCAATGTTCAAAGAGTTTTATTAAAACACAACAATGCATTCAGGTGTGATGGTGCACATCTTTGCTCTCAGCCTTTGGGAGGCAGAGGCAGGCAGATATTTGTGAGTTGAGGGCCAGCCTGGTCTACATAGTGAATACCAACAGCCAGAATTGCATAGCGAGACCCTGTCTTGGGGAAAAAAAACAAAACAAAACAAAACAAAACAAAAATTAGCAATGCCTGTCTAGAGCCTCAGGTAGAGTTCCAGGCTCAAAAATTCTAGACTAGGGACTATCAAGATGGCTCAGGCTGGGCCTTGGTGGTATAAGCCTTTGATCCCAGCACTCCAGGGGGCAGAGGCAGGCAGATCTCTGTGAGTTCGAGACCAGCCTGGTCTACAAGAGCTAGTTCCAGAACAGCCTCAGAAGCAACAGAGAAATCCTGTCTTGAAAAAAACCAAAGGGGGGGGGGGAAGGCTCAGAAGGTCAGAAGGTAAAGGTGTTTGAATTAAACCTGGCAATCTGAATTCAATCTCTGGAACCCACAGGGTAGACAGAGAGAATGGCTCTCAAAAGTGCTCTGACCTTCACATTCAAAACATATGCCCCATGTCCATAACTGTCCAAAAAAATTTAACACTTAAAATTTTTAGATTCTAAACTAAAGATGGTATATTGCCTACTATCAAAATTCCCAATTTGTATATTATGATGCTATAAGTTTGTCTTAATAATTTTGCTTTTGGTCCACCTATGCTAAATTCTGAGCATATTAATAACCATATTGAACGCACCAACTTGTATTGGTTAGCAGTGAACCTAAAGGCAATACTTTCTTGCTTTAAGATTTATAAAAGGGCTGGGCATTAGGTGCACACCTTTAATCGCAGCATGCAGGAGGCAGAGGCAGGGGGATCTCAGAGTTTGAGGCCAACCTGGTCTACAGAGTGAGTTCCAGGACAGCCAAGGCTACACAGAGAAACCCTGTCTCAAACAAACAAAACAAACAAACAAACAAAAAAGAAAGAAAAGAAAAAAGATTTACAAAAGGACTCACTGTTATCTTAAACATTTAAGTTATTCATCTATGAGCCAAGAGAATACATAGAGCATGAAGACCCCACAGGTAACCAAACTCAGATTTTATAGCATCACATACTATTTGCTGATAGGACACATTCCAGATGAGAAGGTAGGGGAGGATGGTGAGAGGCTAGAAAAGACCTCTCTGTCTCCCTTCTTATCAGTAGTGAAAGAAGAGAAAGCATGTCAAAAGAAGAATGGAGAGACAGGAGATCATTTGGGGTTGACTACACACTATAATTAGAATAACACTGAAGGGGAATGAGCTAACTGTTTTCATAAGGTCAGCATTCAAAAATGCGAACCACCAGTAATTTAAATATTACAAAGTGGTACAGAATATAAGTATTGGAATAATTTTTTCCATCCACAAAATTTTAGAGAAAATTACAATATCACAAAATATGAAATGGTAAGTTTGTCATATTCTCAGTGTACAGCATTTTTTTTTTTTTAATTGGAAAGGATTTAACAAACTAGTGGCTAGGCTCTTGACAGGATGTGATGCTGAAAAACCATGTGGTATGTCTCTGAAACTGCTTCTGGAAACAGAGGGGAAATGTCACAAAAACACTGATGTAGCAGAATGCTAAGAAACCGGGCTGATGAGAGTTTGAATTACTTAGCACAGACTGTTTCACAACAATCCATACCCAAGACTCCTAAATAAAAGTATACCGATTTTACTCAAGAGCAGCTGCATCAGCCTTAGCAAGGCAAAGATGCCTAGCAGATGCCACTTCCCAGCAAGCACAGGCAGAACTGGTTCACAATCTTTTCCGAGCTATATTACTGTGACTTTTCCAGAAGGAAAACTAGCTTATTTCCACCCGCACCTCTCTCTCCATAGAGTACATTAAATTCTGAACACAGAGATGACAAAGTGGAGCTAAGGGGTTACTAGGTTACAGTTATGTTGACACATCCTGGCTCTAGGAACGTCCCTCCTTCCTTGTTCACACACTACAAACAGGAGAAGTGGTCAAAGTATAGAAGTCCCACAGAAGGCAACAATCACCTAGAAACCACTTCTACTGAGCCTCAGGTTTGGAGTGTTGGGAACCCTTCATTCAGCCCTTTTGTCATGATTCATCATATAAGAAACTCAAATTATTCCCAGGGTAAACCAGGTGTCTAGTATTTAGCGAACTGGGAAACACTATAAAAATGATCCTTTAAATGCTTACTGATAGCCTTCTATATATGCGGATACACTCTATGCCTGTTGCCTACACTGTATCATTCAATGTTCACCAACTCTCTGTCCCGGAGTGAGTTACCATCATACTCCTTTTACAGATCTAGTAACAGAGGTTCGCAGAACTCAAAGACTCAAAGTTAGTTTTAAAAATCACACAGAAAAGAAGTCTCAGCCTTTTCTCTAATCCAAGCTGGCAAGATAACAAAGCAACTCGGAGTTTTCTTTCACCAGCAAAAGCTTGTCTCTGCAACACCACAATCTGCAACTCAGAGTGGAGACCCCAGCGGCAGGTTCACTAGTGTATGCTCAGCACCCAACAACCCGCACAGAAACTGAACTGGGCCAGACAACATCCTCATGCCTGTTCTTCCATTTGGGAAGGGATTCTGCGGCAAGGAAGGGCGTGTGGAAACTAAGCAGAGTCCCAGCTTCTGTCCCGGCTGAGGGCACCGCCTCGGGTGGAGGGACCGCGCGGCGCACTCGGCCTGGGAAGCAGGACACCGGACTCGGGCGTAGTCTGCACTCGGTAGGGGCGACCTCAGCCGTCACGCACCCCTTCGCTCCCATAAGCAGCAGAGTCCCCGGGAAGTTCGAAACCGGCTTGTGGGACAGAGTCCTGGTAACGGGGCAGGAGCGTCCACGCCGCGTGCCGGGTCAGAAGCCCAGGCATCGCGTTCTCCGGGGTCCACGCACGAGGGAGGAGAGCGGGGCGTGTGGGGGGGGGGGAGCCGGGGTCTCACTCACCGGGGCCGGGGCGGGGGCCGGGCGCGGGCCGGGCCGCCAGAGTGAGCGCAGCGGCGGAGAGCAGCGCGAGGCGGGCAGCGGGCGGCGCCATGGGCCGTCAGTGCGGGACCCCCGGGCGCGGCCCGGGGCAGAGGGGGCAGCACCGGGAGCCGGGGGCGGCCATGGGAGCGGGACGGAGCTCAGCGTCGCCCCGCCCCGGCCGGGCGCCCCGCCCCGGCCCGCCCTCCTCAGCACCGCCCCGGCCGCCAGCCTCCTGCAAGGCTCCGGAACGGGTCAGACTGCGCGTGCGCACCCCGCGCCGCCGCCTGCCATTCTCACCCCCGGCCCGCCCCCGCCCCTCATGGCCCCGCCCCCACCGCCGCCAGGCGTGGCTACTGGAGGTGTGGCGTCTACAGGTGAGGGCGGGACCGGCCCTGCCTCCGAGTCCCCACGCTGGGGGTTAGCGGGGTTGACACGAGCGGGGCGCCCAGTGACCCCAGCTCCACCCTCACCTGCGTCGTGACCCACGCGTGGGCTCCGCCACTGCGGTAGTAACCAGAGCACGGTCGTGGTTAGTCAAGGCTTGTTTGTTTTGGAGTCTTCCTGACCAGATCCGTATCCCGCTTGGTCACTCGTAAGATTTTGTTCAAGTTGAAGGAAACGGGGCCCCCTTCTGCTAAGTGGAATGTCGACACCATCTGCTCCACAAAGCGGCTGTACAAAATGAGATGATTCATGGAAACCACTCACGCACAGCAGGAGCTCAGTAAATTTGGGAGTTTTTTCTCCTTGTGAAGTGCTGCATCTAGCAAAGGGACTGCGTACAGCCCCTTCACATGCTGTGTCAAGTAGGGCAACTTAATGTTCTTTTAAAATGTTTTCATTATAGCTGGTTGGTGGTGGAACCTGACTTTAATTTCAGCTCTCAGGAGGCAGAGGCAGGTGTATCTCTGGGAGTTAGAGGCCAGCCTGGTCTACAAAGCAAGTTCCAGGACACCCAGGGCTACACAGAGGGGTAAAATATACATACACACATGTGTTATTGTGTTTATGTATGTGTATGTGTGGGGGTGCACGCATGAGGTCAGAGGACCACACGGGGGAGTCGGTTCTCTTTGTATCATGTTGGTTCTGGGAATCCAACTCAGGTCATAAGCTTGGTAGCAAATTGCCTTTACCTGCTGAGCCATTGTGCCAATTTCATATTATTATTGTTGTTGTTCTTATTTTATCATTATTTTGATTGAGTCGGGGTCTCACTATGCACTCACTCCTGGTTGGCTTGGAACTATGTAGATCAGGCTGGCCTCGAACTCAGAGATCTTTCTGCCTATGCCTCCAAAGTGCTGGATTAAAGTTGTGCGCCCCAATTCCAGTTAAATTATTTTTAATTAGCATAAAATGGGTGGCACTATATATTTATTGTATTTTGCTCAACCATCAGCAAAATAGTAACAATAAAAGACCTCAAGGTTCAAAGACATAGGAGCAACTGAAGAGCTCAACTCGACGGGGCAGGCGCTGCTGTGTCTCTTGCAGAAGGGATACTGGGGCTCCAGAGAGCTGGTGGCTTAAACTCTCGGCCTGCCCCAGTATCTCGAATCTCCCTCCTCTTCACACCCCGAGGCAGTGGGGATTTTCCTATTGCTCTCTCCTGAAACGCCACGGTGACGCCTGGCGGGACAGGTCCGGGCTGTGCGCTGGGAGCTTTCAAGTCCTTGGTCCGGGACTGGCAAGTGCGGGCCTGCGCCCTGCTAGGCGGCGGGAACATCTGCCCTCGTGTGCCGACTCGCTGTGCCCTGAAGCAGGGCTGGGCGGTCCTGGCCCCGCGGGATTCCCTGACCTGCATGAGATACAACCATCCCTGTGCCCCTCGCCCTCTTGCAGGGCCTGCGCTCCCCCTGCCTTCCACACTCACACGAGGTAGCTCCCATAGCTGGTGCCCCAAGGGTGTAGCTACCTCCCTCCCACGAGGCGCCTGTCTTTCTGTCCCTCTCCACCCACACGACCCAGAGCTGTGGCAAGAAGAATCTTGTTCAATTGTTTGCTTTCCCTGTCGTTCCTGAATTCAAGAACCCTCGGCGCTCCTGAGTGGACGCCCCTACCCCCACCCAGTAGACACACCCTCCACCTGCTAGTGAGAACACAGCCTCCATGTTCCACACATGGGTCTGTTGTGTAAGCTTTTTTAGGCAGGGCTTAACATGAACCATGAGTACTGGTCATTACCGAGCAGAGAGGGTTTTTGCCTGTAGTTGCAACAAGGAAAGAACAATAAGATTATTGCTTAGTCTATGGGAACCATGACCTGCTGCTAACACCCGCTCTAGAGGGAGTGTCACCTAGAGGGATCCTAACCTGGGATTCCAACCACTCTCCAGCCCCAGGTGCTTATGATCTCGAGAGATGTAGCTGGAGCATACAGTGGGTGGAAGGTCAGCTGAAGACAACTTTCCCCAGGGCTACTTCTCAGAAGTTGTCACTCAAGGTAGGAAAGGACTTTTTTTTTTTTTTTTTTTTTTTTTTTGGTGAGATGCCTGTTCCCCAAGCTCATGTAGTAAAGCCCAGTAAATTAATTCATTGGTTCACAAAACTGGGCTTGGGGGGAGTCTCTGTTGTCTACTGTTGGTGCTAAGTTTAGGGCACAGTGTCTGTTTGTGCCTCCTCAGGAAAGCAACAATCCTCCTGCAAGACCTGCCCAGTGATGGTGGCTCACGCCTTTAATCCCAGCACTTGGAGGCAGAGGCAGGGGAATCTCTGTGAGTTTGAGGCCAGACTCAAAGCTACATGGTCTACAAAGCTACATGGAGAAACCCTGTCTTGGAAAACAAACAAACAAACAAACAAAAAAACCCTGAGGCCTCTGCACTCTTGACTTTTGCCTCAAGAGCAGAATTATCACAAAGGACAAAAAAAGTGAACAGGTAACACTGGTGAAGACTCTAGGTAGACGTGAGCATGTCCCCCCTTCAACAAATAATCAGTAAAGGGGTGAGAATATAGCTCATATAGCTCAGTGGAGAGCTCATCTAGCATGCACAAAAAGACCTGAGTTCAACCTCCAGCACCAAATAAACAAGGTGGGTGGCACACGCATGACTGTCATCTCAGCTTTGGGGAGGTAGAGGCAGGAGAATCACAGAGTTCAAAGTCATCCTCAGCTATATAAGCATAAGGCCAGCCTGGGCTACATGACACTCTGTCTCAAAACAAAGATGCACAGTTAGGAATATGGGAAGTGCTGAGGACATAGCCAATAATAGGACAGCTCAAGTTTAGGGTGTGTGTGGGTCTGTGGGTATTTCAGACACCCAGAGTACTATAGTGAAACTAACAAAAAGATGCTCTGTGCTTGGTAGGCCAGCATTCTATTGACTGAGTCACATCTCCAACCCCAACCCTAAATATCTGTTGAAAGAAGGCAGGCTCTCATCTGTCACACTTGGGGCTGGGAAGTGGTACACTGGGAGAAAGAGCTCTTGCCTAAGATGAGTGAGTCCTTGGGTTCCACAAAAAACACTGCATTCATCAGCTGGGATGCTGGAGAGACATCAAGCAGGATGGAGTTCTCTGCAATTCATGTTTCCTGCAGTTTACTAAACTCTCTATCTCCTTGGGTTCAAGAGGAGAAAATAGGAAGGGGGCCAGCACACAGGAGATTCTAAACAAGGTTATTTTGACCAACTCAGGGTGTTCGGGCTGTGTGACAATGGCTTTGGACTATTGTGCCCCTCCCCTGTATAGAAAGTTGCCCTTTCGGGACTTTTCATTAGGTTTTGGTACAATTAGAATGAGCTCTACAGTTTGTATGGCTGAGTAGGAAATGAAAATACAGGGTCCTAGCTAGGCATGGTGGCGCTTGCCCGCCTTTAATCCCAGCACTCAGAGGCCAGCCTGGTCTACAGATTGAGTTCCAGGACAGCCAGGGCTACAAAGAGAAACCCTAAATATGAGGGTCTATGTTCAGACTTACTGAGGTAGAGGGATTGTTGGGTGTTCAGTGGCAAAGACTGAGAGCCTGTCTCAAACAAAACAGAAGAATTTTAAGATGATCATAGCAGAACATTAAAAAAATGGTTTCAAAGCCCCATGGTGGTGGTGGTGCACGCCAGCACTCAGGAGGCAGAGGCAGGTGGATCTCTGAGTTCAAGGCCAGCATGGACTACAGAACAAGTTCCAGGACAGCCAGAGCTACATAGAGAAACCCTGTTTCGAAATCCCCACCCTCCAAAAAAGGTTGTGGCTTTTCTAAGCACTCTGGATTTTTGTCACTACATAGGGGAACACTCATGAAAGTGACATGTGTGTAATTCAGCCTGTGCACTCCTGCCACAGGGCTGCTGTGAGAAAGACCAGTCCCTCTGGCCTTCTCCGCCCCCACCTCAGTCCCTCTGGCCTTCTCCACCCCCACCTCCTCTCTGAAGCTAAAAGCCCAGCACAGGTGACGGAAACATCGAAACATCGTAGGGGAGGCTAAAAATACAGCTCAGCCTGTCTAGGTCACGGCGCTCAAGGGCTCAAGGTCTTTTGCTCAGTTATGTGGTGCTGGCCTCCAGCAGGGAGCTAGCTGCCCCAGATGCTCACTTCCATGCTTTGCGTGCCTGGGGCGTTTCGGAGCCTTATTTCATGGAAAGAATGAGGACATTCACAGTACCCCTTGCCTTCCGGAAGATGCTGATGTCTGAGTCTGTTTGCCTGTTTATACTTTTCATCAGGCCCTTTACCTCCTCCTGGGAGGCCTACTAAGTTGGTTGAGTTTGGGTCAGTCTGGTGTTTAAAATCCCAGTTGGAATGATTTTGCTCAGACTGTCATGTTGCAGATAGGCACAACACGAGGGGGTGTGGTCCCAAACATCTAGAGGTTTTACTTGCCAGGCATAGTGGTGCACCTTACAGCTCAGGACTCTTGAGGCAAAGGCAGCCTGGCCAAACATAGGAAGTTCCATGCCATCAAGGCCTACATAGTGAGATGTCGCCTTTAAAAGAGATTCCCAAGTGCTTTGCAGTACTTAAGATCAAGTGATCATATTCCACAGAATCCTTCCCCCAAGTGTTGTGAAGGACAACCCTGAGGACCAATGAGATGCCTCAGCGGAGAAAGGCACATGCCACCAAACCTAGCGACCTGAATTTGATCACAGTGGCAGAAATAGAGAAGTGACTCCCCAAAAGTAATTGTCCTCTGACCTCCACACTCAAGCCTTCAAACACATGGGCACACAAACATAGACACACAAAATAAATAATGTAATTTTAAACACACGTGGGGGGGGGGAGGAAGATATAGGTCAATTAGTGGGGTGCTTGTGTTGCATGCACAAAGTTATGGGTTCCATACCCAGCACCGACTAAACTGGGTGTGGTGCACACACACCTGTAATCCCAGCAAGCAAGGAGAGCAAGCTAGGCAGTGTAAGGCCAGTCTGGGATACAAAGTCTTGTGTCACCATGATGAATAAAATAATTCAGTGCCTGCCTGCCTATCTGTCTGGATCAAGCACATGACCTTTCCACCACTGAACTACACGAACCCATTTTCAACATTTCAAACAAACATCAGATCATTCTCTCAATTGTTCTCTGGACTTAGGCTGGGTCCAGCACTGTGTTGTTTACTGATCCTGCTTCCCCAGGTTCCTAGCTCGGGAATCTAGTGATAGGAAACTCAAGAGAATCGGGAATTAACTCTTCTGATGGAGTAAGGGAGAGAAAGACTCTGAGCCTGGTACAAAGCCTGACCTGTGGGTACATTTGGGTGGAAATAACGAAATGGAGGCATCCTGAATGTGGCCCCAGGGTAACCAGAATGTCAGTTACCATCTCAGGTCCATGGCCTGTGACTGGTGACTATTCAGCACACATGCTCTAAGCCATAGCGTCACAGGTCAGGACTCTCCACATTCCCTCTCCTGAGTTTTCCTGTCCTTTTGTCCCATGAACCTCAGATGTGTCCCCATGCGGGTGTGGGAGTTTGCTGCTTGTGTGCCAGGGTAAAAACAACGGAGGAGATGGGGAAATGCCACTGTAGCTTGAAGAGTAGAGCCATGAAGGAGAAAACAGAATTCATATAAGCAGGCTCACTCTCCTCTTGATTAGCTGGTCTTCCAGAAAGAAAATAAGAGCTGAGAAAAACTAAAGAGAAGAAAGATTACAGGAGCTAAAAATACTAGGAAGAAAGCTTGGCTGAGCATCAGAGTAGGACAGATGTGTTCCCAAATAGAAGCATGAGCTTGCATATGTCAAGGAGCTCAGCTCCAAACATGTGGGAAGCAAGGGGTATTTAGACTGAACTCAGCAGAATACCATGTAAAAGGCCCATAGAGCATGACACACAGGAACAGGGCAATGTGGACATCCTCCTCCCTCAACCCCCAACTCTCCTACCCAAGCACCAACCAGGCCTAATTCTACTTACATTCCATTAGGTCAAACCAGGAACATTCAGGGTGATATTGCTATGAAACTGATCTCCTTGCCCAGACCAAATGATAATACCAAAGGCCAAAACCTCCACTTCAGTTTCAGGAACCTGGGCCAAATAGTATTTGGAGCCTGACTTAACTATTCTAAACAACCTTTGAGGCAAGAATCTCTGAAGAAGCTGGGTATTGGTGGCACACACCTTTAGTCCCAACACACAGGAGGCAGAGGCAGGCGGATCTCTGTGAGTTTGAGGCCAGCCTGGTCTACAAGAGCTAATTCCAGGACAGGCTCCAAAGCCACTGAGAAACCCTGTCTCGAAAAACCAAAAAAAAAAAAAAAAAAAAAAAAAAATCTCTGAAAACCTAACTGCTTTTCTTTCTGTATCCATAGTTGCCCTTTCCCCTGTCATCTGGTAAAGAATTTTCCAGAAACAGTATTCCAGAAAATTCCACAATCAGGTGAGTCAAGATCTATCTATCAAGAAAGGAGATGCTATGGCACCAGGGACATAGCTCCGTGGTCAAACACTTACCTAGCATGTAGTAGGCCAGGGGCTGGGGGAGAGGGAGAGGGGGGGGAGAGAGAGAGAGAGAGAAGGGATGCTTTGATACCCAAGTTGTGTCAGACAGGGTTTTTTTTTCTTAAAGAGGCCCATTGTTTACCTTTATAAGCCAAACTGATCCATATGAAAACCAGAGATGAAGATCATACCAAACGTTGCATCATGCCATTTAAGACTATGGGCATCAGGGCCTAGAGAGGGGTTGATAAGCAAGTAGGTCACAATGTAATATTAATAAAAACATTATCTACTTTCTTTTTAAATGTTTAAAAGCCATTCATTTATTGTGAATGTGTATGTATGTGTGTCAGCATGTGTATGGAGGTCAGAGGACAACTTGCAGATGTCGGTTTTCTCTTCCTACTATGTTTGACCTGGGGGTCAAGCTCAGGTCCCTAGGTGTGTGGCAAGCATTCTTACCTGCTGAGCCATCTCAATAGCCCTATCTACTTTAAAATTCACTGTGTTGTTGTTGTCATCGTCGTCGTGTGTGTATGGACGTGTGTGTGTGTGTGTGTGTGTGTGTGTATGAACAGTATAGGGTCTGAGTGTGTTGTGTAATGGCACACGTGTAGCGTTCTCCCCTTCTACCTTTATGTGGGTTCTGGCAATTGGACTCAGGTCAGCAGGGTTGCACAGCCAGGTACACAGCGAGCATCTTTATCCACTGCACCATCTGGCTGACCCTCATTACCAACTTTCTTTTAAAAAGGATTTATCTGACGCTGGGTATAGTGTCGCATGACTTTAATCCCAGCATTCGGGGGTGGGGGGGCAGAGGCAGGGAGATTTCTGTGAGTTTGAGGCCAGCCTGGTCTGTATAGTGAGTTCCAGAACAGCAGGACTACATGGTAAGACCTTGTCTCCAATAAAATAAAATAAATAAATAGATGGGTTTATTTATATTTGTATTCGTGCATACATGTGTTTGTGTGAATATATGCTGTGTGTGTGGTGACCATGAGGCCAGAGGAAAGCACTGCATTCCACAGAGAGTTATGGTGCTTGTGAGCTGCTGGGAACCTGGAAGAGCAGGAAGTACTCTTAACTACTGAGCTATTGTTGAGACCTCTTGCTAGCTATTCTCTATAGGTATATCCCTCAATTCAATATGTATCACCTGAACACAAAAAGTGCCATACTTCTTCCTTCAGAACCCTAGCGCGAGTTAATTACATATTTTGCACCCATTTTGTGGCCAGCCACGCAAGGGTCTCCCTCTGCGTTGTTTTCCTTTTTCCTATGGTAACCCTTTTGGAGATGCTATTGCTATCCCCGTCTCATGGAGGAGAACATTACAGTTCAGAGCTGTGCATTCACTTGCCTGCTGAGTGATGGATCTGGGATACCAACTTAGGTTAGAACAATTTCTGAGCCTAGAGAAATCTTGTGACAAGACAGGACTAGATATGAGCCCAGGGACTGTGGGTAGATGGATCAGCCAGAGAAAAGGCAGAGTCACAGTGACATGTGTGAGTGGCCCAGAGCAAGGACTATGTAAACTTTGGCTAGGTCTTCTAGCAATAGGGCATAGGGCATTGTTTTGAGCAACTTGTGCCTCAGTTTCCTCATTTGTAAGCTAGGGGTGGTAGCAAACATTCACACCCATGTCACTGTGGGTAGCATTTCATGATATGAGCTTGAACAGCAGCTGGTCTTCATTAAGTATTCAATAAATACTAATTTTATTGGTGCAGGAGAAATTGCATGAGTGAAGGTACTAAGGGTTGGATTAAGAATGAGCTGTACCCTAGGGTCCAGTCAACTGAAAATGAGCCATGCTGAACAAAGAGAAGGAACTTGCACACACATCACATACACATACACACAAATAGTAAAATAAATCTTTAAAATACTACTAAAAGGGGGATGAAGAGATGGCCCAGCAGTAAAGAGCACTGGCTGCTCTTCCAGAGGACCTGGGTGGCAGCTCACAACTGTCTGTAACTCCAGTTCCAGGGGATCTGACACCTTCACACCAATGCACATAAAATAAAGTTTAAAAAATACTATTAAAAAAATGAAGAGTGGGGCTGGGAATACAGGTCAGGGATAAGAGCGATTCTCTAGCAAGTTTGAGGCCCAATGTTCAAATGGGGTGGGGTGGGGAAGGGAGGAGTTTGCTTCAAGAGACATCCATGTGAATGGCTGTGTGCCAGAAGCCTCACAGTGCTTCTCAGAAGCCAAGCTGTGTTCATCATTGAATGACAAAACTAATATAGTAAAAAATATGGTCGACAAATGTCTGGAAGAAAGGAGGAAGTTAGAAAACCAAACTTGTGATGGGGAAGGATGCTGTCAGAAAGCTGAGGCAGGAGGATCATGAGTTCCAGATCACTGCGTAGGTGGCATTATATAAGGAGACTTGGGGCACCGCACCGGAGGGGAGCTGGGGAAGGGAAGGAAGACAGAGGATCCTCATAATAGCTTCCTGTGCCTGCCTAGTCTCTACCGAGAAGAGCTGAATGCAGATGGTAACCGGAGACCTGCAAGCATGGTGTAATCTCTCCAGGATTCACTGGTTTGGAAGAATGTTTGGTTGTCTGGTTTTAGATATTTACAAACCCTTCCCAAAGACAAACCTTTTCCAATGCCCTGCTCTAAGACTGACCCACCTCTTGGGAGGTGAAGCCAGAGTTTGCTGCTGAATAGGCCTCATTGTCTTCCCAAGTGTCTGTGGGTCCAGATGCCATGGGCCTGGGGGTGGCTCTGCCACAGGGCAGCCTGTATTGCGGTCGGCCTGCCAGCTTTGATTCTCTCCAGGGACAACAGTTGAAATTTCAAACAGGCAACACATGGCAATTCCAGGAGTTCTTGCCAGATTCATACTTTGTTTTTCCATCATTTCACTCTCCTCCCACTCTGGAAGGAGCCTCCTTTGGCATTTTGTGTATGAAAAAAAAATCAAAACCACCAACAGGACCAGCACCTGAGGAGGAGAGAGGCATTGCCCAAGAGTTCCCAGGAAGAGGCGGTCTTTGTTCTCATTTCCAGGCCTTTACAGTGCTAACAGCTCTAATTACTACATTTGCCATGGGATGTAAAATAAAACCCCATTCCAGAAACCACGTCATCTCCTTGGGCGAGAGACAGAGACACAGAGGTGCTCAGGGCCGCAGGTGCATGCTCTTTAATTTCTGGTCCTAACCTTGGCAGATATTTTGATAATTTAAGCATCATTTTTTATGTGCATGGAAAAGTGGAAAAGTGCACTTTTACGCACGTAAGGATGGATCTCAACATCTGTACACACATAATATGGTCTGCATGCCTGGTGCTACTTTATGTGACCCATGCTTCCTAAAAACATCAGGATTTTCTTGCAAGCCTTCTAGGGAGAATGAAGACTCAAGAAGTTTTGGAGCTTCTTCTATCATTTGATCATAAGATCTGATGATGTAGTACTTGCCCACACCCACCTCACAAACCAAAGTGACAGACATCACAAATACTGGAGTGATGGCTGTAAACTGCCTACCTGCCCCAGAGAAAAGACAGGTGACTAGATAAAAATATGAAAGAGAACAACCACCCCACACACACACATGGGGGGGGGAGAGGAAGAATGCAAACCTCTTTCCCCTACTAAGGTAGCTAAAATGAAATTTAAGGCAATCAAAATATGACAATGTAATTTTATTTTAAAAAGATTTATTATGTGTGAGCCTAATATGTACACCACATATGTGGAGGAGCCCCAGGAGGCCAGAAACAGGCATCGGAGCCCCTGGACCAAGAGATGCAGGTGGCTGTGATCCTCTTTGTGGGTGCTGGGAAACGGTCCTCTCCAAGAGCAGCCAGCTTTGGACTGATGAGCTCTCTACTCCCTGAATAGGTGATATTTCTTAAAAAGCCAGGTCTCTTTGTTTGATTAAATCTATACCAATTGTTCCCCTGTTCTTAGTCCCAGGGAGTATGTCTTGGTCTTTATGGACCCCAGAATGTATTTCCTTCCCTACTGTGTGGCTTTACCAAGCTCTTGTTATCAGGTTAGGTGTATTCATGGTCCAGCAGGACTTACCTGCTGTCATTTGTGTTTGAATGTGCATGAATTGTGACCAGAGCTTACACAGAAATCTTGCAAGATTCTCCCATTCAAAAAAACAAAAACAAACAAACAAAAAGATTCTCCCATTCCTTTGCTATGGATTCATTACCTTTCCAGTAGGCAAACTGTCTAATGTTCTTACTGAGCTCTTCCTGACTCCAGCTTCCTGCCCCAGCATGCTTCTTTAAGAACCAAAATATCATTGTGACCTTTTAAAATTCACATCCTTCCCTTACTTGGTATGAAAAAGTTCTAGATGAGCAGGAGGCATAAACTCCAGCAAGATTTCTAAGACCTGGGGTAAAGGAATAGCATGTGAAATGATGTTACAGTTAGTTTCTAACATACTTTCTAGTTTCTGTGTGGGAACTGCTCTTTAACAACAACAGCAACAGCAATAACAACAAAAATCACTTCCTCTTTATATTTCTAGCACACAATGTGAGACAAAATTCCAGCATCCTTAACCATGGACTTCGACAGTCCATCTCATTGAATACCAATCTTCAGGACTGCTACATGGTCTCTGATATCAATGCAGTCAGAATGGGTGCAAAGCAGACCAGCAAGGCCCCAGCACCAGGTACTACATAGTGCCATTTGTTCTCTCTGGTCAAAGTTGTGTTCAGATGGCAACTGAAAGGTAAATGCCACAGCGTGCCTTCCAAGATCAGAGAAGCAAAATCCTCAGAGGGACAGAAGCCTAGACATAGTATAATATTGAAAGGCACATGTTACCTATAAAAGTTTATGTGTTTTCAGAAAAAAGGACCAGATACCAATAAAGAGAAGTAGCTCAAGTGATCTGGCCTCCCAGAGTGCTTCTGTTGCAGTTTCCTCAAAAGTCTGCATCCAGAACAACTTCAAAGACACTAGCTGAGGTGGTCCAGCCTCACAGACTACTCCAGCCAGGACTTCGGATAAGCTCTACACTTTCCCATTACAGAGACTAAACAAAAAATAACACAGCTAGTTCTCCTATCCCATTTTTATCAGGGTCCCCTAAAGATGCTGTTTCCCTATAACAGGAAGCAGTCTAGAGAACACAACACCCACAATCCCAAGCAGTGGGGTTTTTGGTAATTTGGTGGGTTACGGATGTTTGTCATCATTTAGGGTGGTTGATGGTTACAAATTGTTATTGGTAAAGGTCAGGAAAAAAGCTAGACAAAAATTAGATTCAAGAATTTCTTTCTGGAGGGAAAAAGGGGTGATATAAAAATGGTGGGATAAAAGGGTAGATTATTAAATCTGATTTCAAACAAAAAAACATTAGTCTCAAATATTTTACATTGGTATGGATTTTTATATATTGATACAAATTTAAGGTTATTTTTGTTATATTGTATATATGTGGTATTGTACCTATACAGCTCATTTAATAATATAAATTTCTAGTCCTTGAAAGCTATTATTAAAAACTATTTAGGATAATTAAGAAATACAGGTTAGTAGTCACCTATAACAATCAATCTTATAGTCATGTTAGATATGTTTACAAGATAGTCCTCCGAACATTTCAAAGACCTACAGAATATGGCATTTAAATGTTTTAATAAAAGAAGGCTTTTCATGACAGTGAGACATGTCTGTTCCTGGCAGCACCAATCGACTAAAGAAAAGGATGATAGGTATGGAAGAACCTTTGCCTTCACTTTTGGCAAGGTTAGCCACTGGGCAAAAAACTCCCCTTGCCTCGACTGCTGACAGTGTGCTGTTCAAACTGGACAATCAGGACACAAAAGAAAGTGCCAAACTTTGTCAAGACAAAGTAGGACAGTCCTTGAAAATTCCTGCTTCACAAAATTCTGTCAGATATTCTAGGCCTGCAGGCCAAAGATGGATGCCCCTGGCATTGCAAAGGAACCTTGGGCAACTGACTCTGTCATTTCTAGTCTTGGAAGTTGCTTGCTCTGCACTTCCTGTTTAATCAGGTAATACTATATCCTTCTTGGGTCTTTGATGGGGTTAAAGACTAGATATAGTTAGTTTTCCTTGTTAGCAAATTCAAAAAAGAAACTCATGAAAAAGATACAAAGTATATAAGGTTGAGAGACATAAAAGCTTAAGTCATTTATCTAAAAAGATAGCTTTGAGTTGGTAATACAAGCTAGAATAGAAAGTAAACTAGGTAGAAAACTTTTGACTCACCAAGATAGGATAGGTAATAAAATATTTTCTCTAAATTTGCCAAATACAGATAGGCTGGACATTGCAAATATAAGTCTTACCTGATGATTGTTTTTATTACATATAGTTTTACTGGGTTAGAGTTAAACCCTTTCCTTTTTATTCAGACAAAAGGAAACATGTTGCAGAATATTCGACATTGTGGAGATGTGTCTTTGCCAAGGCACCTTCTGATTGGTTTAATAAAGAGCTGAATAGCTAGGCAGGAAGAGGTTAGGCAGGACTTCCTGGAACAGAGAAGACTAGGGGAAGGAGAAAGTCAGAGACATGAGACACAGAGGAAACAGGTGGTGCAAGATGGAAGAGAGAAAATGCCACACGATAGACCGTAGGTTAATATAAATGGATTAAGTTATAAGAGCTAGTTAGGAACAAGCTTTCATAATTTTAAAAAGTCTCCATGTCATTATTTGGGAATTGGCTGGCAGGGGTGGGGGGAGACTTGTTACAGGTAGAGAGAGACACAGAACAAGAAAGGCCAAGAGCAAGTGGCCGGTAGGCCAGCTGCTAGGCACCCTGGAGCAGAGGGCCTGCAGGCGGCACAGGCACAGAGAAGTGACCAATGGCCAGCAGTGATGAGACAGGAGGGAAAAACTAAAGCCAGATTTTACTGTATGGATTCATGTGTCCAGGTGATGAAAATCCTAAAGCTGAAGTCAGAATTGCGGTGGAAAGCTTCCCGGGATAGGGGTGGAACACCCTCCATCTACAGTTCCACAATTAGGGGTTTGAGGTTCACCCTGTACTTAGCTCTGCAGGAAAACGTCATACTCGGAAGTTGACAAGGAAGGGACAACAGATGAGAGGTGGGTAGTATGTATTTATGTATACACACCTGAAACACCTATAGCCTGTGACACTGCACTCAGAGAATCTAGTTCTGTTGCTTCTTGGTGGCCGGCAGAGCTCAGAGTATGTTCAAATCCCAACTCTGACCAATCTGTGTCTTGATTTTGTAATATAAACTGATACTGGCCTTTCTCTCACAGGGTTCCATAAAGATGAAATGAATTAATACATGCAAAGGCCCTTTGAACAGTTTGGTAAAGAATAAGTAATTAGGAGCTTGCTTAGTATCCAATAGATGTCAACTCCATCAGGAGCTTCTTAAGCTTTGTGGCCTTGGGCAAACCAGATCTAATTTCCCTGCCTTTAAATCTGCCTCTGTGACTTCACAGGGTTCTAGGGAACACACATAGTGCTATATGCAAAGGTTTTTCAGTAACTAAACTGTGCTAGGCACATGTTGGTTGTTGCTGTAGTGAACACTCTGAGACACAAATCCCCCCTGATAATTATTCTAAGCTCCCAAGTTTGAACTCTGACGCCTCTGCTTTCTTCCTGGCATTGAGTAAAAAAAGTTCAAAGGAAAAAAGTAACAGCCAAGATCATGAGGATAGACACGCCAAACATGCAGCCGCTATCTCAAGTGTTGTCCAGGGACAGTGGGACGATAGCCTGGAAGCACCGGGCATTGCTTCCTGGAACCCAAGAGGGACAGCAGCTGGAGGACATGCCAACCATCCATGGCATCCCTATCCAGGGTTACCAGGCTCTGTACCATGCTGTGGTGTAACCCATGTTGTGAGAGTCTTCTGAAACGCCCAAGAGGTAGAGATTGGAGCTAGGCAGAGCCATTAAACAAAGGTTCTGGGAAGCTTTTTGGAGTCAGCTGCCACCAGGAGTGCACAGAGGAACCTGGAGCTGGGCAGGGAGTATAGCTGCTGTCCCTGAGAAATGGCCCAAGCTAAGGAAAAAAAAAAAATAATAATGGGAACTCATAGGATTGGAGTGTCCTCTGCCAGTGTGTCTGAAAAACAAACTGCTCTTCATCTAGTCTCAGAGTGCTTTATGAACTAGTAACTACCCTCCCAGAGAAAACAGACAAGGTCCCCAGGCTTTATTATTTGGAGACAGGATCTCTCTACATAGACCTGGCTGTCCTGGAACTATGTAGACCAGGCTGGCCCTGAAACTCAGAGATCCATCTGTCTCTGCCGCACAAGAATTAAACTTGTAAGCGCCATGCTGGGAGGGTGGGGATATGGGGCAAGGCAGCTATGGGGGATTAAACCTAGAGCCTTGATTGCTGGCAGGTGCTCTGCCATCAAGCTGCATATCTAGCAGTTTTTAGTTTTTTTTGACACAGGGTTTCATTAAACCACACAGGCTGGCTTTGTGTGCACTCTGTAGTCCAGGCTGGCCTGGAAGTTGTGGCCATCTTGCTTTATGCTCCTGTCACACACTGCTATGCAATGATAAAAACCCAGGCCCTAGAATACTCTGATGCCTGGAAATGTCCCACAACTTGGACTCGTTAACAGAAGCGTAAGTTCCCAGGAAGTCTCTGAATAAGATGGTGCTCAGAGCACTGGCTTGCGAAAGGCAGCAGGGTCTAGACTTAGCCAACCACAACAATGACCACATGTAACACATACTTGATAAAACTGTATTTTTTTTTTTACAGTCATTTGTACAATTTGTTACAAAACCATAGAAGACTACAACTTGCTTTAAATCATTTTTGGTCTGCAAATGTGTAAAATCTGTGTGCAATTATCATGTATTTACAAGGCCTTGTTAGTCATTTTCAATGATTATTTCAACAATGTCACACTCTCAACATAAGACATGGCTTAAGATAAATATATTAGTAAATAAATATTCTGAGAACATATTTCCATAAATGAAATGTGTTGCTATACATATACAGAATATACATAAGTTGTTTTCTAGCTTTAAAAACAGTTTTTCAAATGGTAATGTTGAAAAGAGCCCTTAGACCATTTTATCACAAAGCCTTTACAGCAAAGTCTTTACAAAAATCTTAAGTGCTATGGGAGGAAAAAAGTCTTGTTAGACCAACAATACAAAAGTTTATGTAAGGAATAGAAAAAGGTAGATCAGTTTAAAAGATGATACTTCCAACTAATTCTTTTATAGAGCACATTTTAAAAGCATTAGTCCTGTGTGAACTTTGAGACCAGAAGACAGAGGGGAGGGCCTGAACCATAGGGCTGAAGGTGGAACCCAGTAATAAGGCCTGGGCCTGAAAGGGGACGGGGCACGGGACCGTCAGCTCCAGGAGCTAAATGCCCAAACTTCCAATTTCATCTGATGTTAGAATTCTATAGTTTTCATGGCTGTTTTACACCCAGGGCTGATATCAAGCTCAAACTTGCTATCACACACTTAGAAAATACAGAGGTTCCCAGGGGAAAGTGTGGTGCTCCTTGTCCATGATTAGGCAATTATACACTAGTGATGCTCTATTTTTCCTCCCACTCCCCAAAAGAGGGTACTTGTTACCAATATTAGAGCCTTAGAACTTCGAAGACACTGTTTCTTTTTATTTAAAGGGGACACGAGATAGTTGACAGGTGATTTTGTTCTGGTCTGATGAGGCAACAAAGATGATGATTGTTTCTAAATTTTTCTTTTGTTCCTACTACTCCCAAACTATAACAATGACAAGTGTTTGTCCCCTTTCCCCAGCCCCCGCCATCACCACTCTTGCAGAGGAGGCTGGGCTTGTTCATTTGACTTCTTCCAGTGGCATTCAGATTCTCCACTCATTTATGTACTGTTTAAGATGACTGAGAAGTGGTGTTCTAGCCAGGACAAAGACAAGTCTTTCTGGGGTTTGTTTCAGCCAAGGGAGAGATATGCACATGCAGTCACTAAAAACAAACAACCTAACAGTGAAAAGCTTTGCTTTGCAGTTCATGGTAAACACTGTGCCCCCCATTCCCCAGTGCACAGTAAGGCAAGCTGTTGTTCTTAGCAGCTGCAACTCCTGCTCCCAGAAATAAAGGCAACCCCGATCACATGTCAACAGCTTAGGCCCTTCTCACACCATTCCCAGACAGGTGCACTGGGTATAGCCTGCAGGAGCCCTCAAGGGACAGACACCCAGAGTTGGGCAGAAGGACAAATTTCACCATGGCCTCTTCCTAAATGCTAAATGGCTGGATCATCTGATGTGGGGACTTCTGTCAGATCCTGGTTAGAAATGATCAACATCCTCATCTTAGGATGGGGTTTTAAAGAAGAAAGCATTCTGATAGTCTCAAAATGTATAGTCTGTCTCCTGGGCCAACTTCCTGGGAGCCTGACTGGGAGAGGGGTCATTTCTGTCTCTGGCAACCCAGGGTGGTCACCTTTTCCCCAGGTTCCAAGGTTCCCATTCTGTAACCGAGCTTTCAGACCTACTAGGCCAAACTCTTTCAGATGGCAAAAATGTCTGCTAAATCAATGAATAAAAATGACCAGAAGAGTTATCAACACAGGGCCAACACAGTTTCCTCTAAGGAAAAGAAAACAATTTTAAGAACAAGGACTATATTGAACAAAAAGGATTACAATCCCTGAAGTAGTTTTAAATAGATTATCTCTCCCTTTTAAAAACAAACATCTTAAAAACAACAAGAACACAAACAAATGGTTTGGGTTAAAAACAAAACAAAACGAAAAACCTCTCCCTTCCCCTTAAAAAAGAAGAGGCTGGAAAAAATATACACAAGCCTCCCCTTTGGGTCTGAGCTATCTGATAGTCTGTCCTGTGGAGAATCAGTATATATAGTGCATCAGGCAGACGGGCTAGCAGAACTCTGCTGGTGGGGTGAGCTATTGCAGCCACTAGGCGGAGGCCTGAGGAGGCCCACAGCCGTTTTCTGGGGATGGGAAATTGGTTCAAATGCTGGGGGGGGGGGGGGGGAAGAGGAGAGCTCATTCCTCCACAGGACACCAAGGCCACAAAGCAACATTCCTCCTGGGTGCCTGCCCTGCACACCCATTCAAATCACTGCAATTAATAGCACAAAGCCCAAAACAATTTTACAGAACACTGGAGGGCTGGACAGTAAGAGTGAGGGCATCTCTTACCTGCCACAATGGTCAGAGTGCAGGAGAGCCTAGTGAAGGTCCCAGATTGTGCTGGGACAAGAACGATGACCCAAAGGAGGACGATGACCCAAAGGAACAAGGAACAGAAGAGAAAGGGCACAACTGTCCCCAACAACCTGGGGCCTAGGCAACAATGGTTTGACACCTCCCCTTTCCCTCTTCCTGTTCCTAGCAGTTCCCATGGCTGCCTACAGGTGTGGGTAGGAGAGGTGTGTCTTTCCAGAAGCCCTGAAGTTCAGATTTGCCTCAAAAGAGGGAAAAAGGATAGGCAGCTTTGCATTGTTCCTTGGAGTTTTTTACCCCTATCAATTAACTTTTTACTTCAAGTTTCTGGTTCATTTTCAATAAGGCAGGTGTAACCCTGAGCTTTTCAAAGGCCTGAGGTCCCTCCAAGGAGAGGACAGTATCGACACGATGTGGTTCATTCAATGCAGCAGTGATTTTTTTCTTTTTCAACAAAAGTTGGTGGTTAGGGTTCTTTAAAATATATATTTAAATAACTTTTTACATTTACATATAACATCTTAGGGGGGGAAAAAAAGCAGAGAACTCAATCCCACACACCTCAGAACCCCAAGCACACATTACACAATAGAGTAACACATTATTAAAAGAGGCAAAGGACTCAAGATTTTGTCTGTTGGTTTGTTAATGGGGAGGGGATGCCACAGGTGGCTCACATTTTGGGTTGAGGAGGGCTGTCTTTATTACCACTTTTGTGTTTGTCAAAACTAATATATAAAACTAATATATATTAGTTTTGAAGGAAGCCAGACTTTGAAGTCTCCATACAGTTCCCGATTTTTACAAAAGAGTTCCTTCTGAGCTCAAGCTCCCGTACCGATGCCTGGGCCAGATCCTGGTCCTGGGAGAGAGAGGGAGAACAGTCATCAAGGTTGTGGAGAGAGCTGGCACAGCAGGCTTTGGGCAGTATGTACCAGGTAAGGGCCTTGAGCATCCCTATTCTGTGTATGAGGCTCTTGGAAGTGACAGTTCACAATGCTAAGTGATAAGGGGGAGGGGCAGCAATGGCTTTTATTTCCTGAGGGGCTCAAGTCTCTGGGGGGCAGGTCTCCCTTGTTTGGCTATACAGGGTCTTCTGGAAGCCCTAAGATGCCTTGGAAGCATAATGAAGAAAAGTAATTCCTAGCGGCACTAAAAGAGCAGGGAGACCCCTCACAGGCCACACTGGCCTTCCCATGCGGTGCCTGGCTGAGGTGGCAGGCATTAGCAGAGGGAACGAGAGTGGTACTGATGCGGGAAGGAAGGCCACTTAGGTCTGGAGAAATGAACCTGACATGCTGCAGGGATGGGACAAGGGCTGGATCAGAGAGCAGGCGCTTTAGAAAACATCTTATGTGCACACCTTTAATCGTAGCACTTAAAAGACAGAGGCAGGGAGATCTGAGTTCAAGGGCAGCCTGGACAACAGAGAGAGTTCCAGGACACCCAGGGTTACACAGAGAAACCCTGTCTTCTAGTGTAAGGTCTGTGACTTAGGTCTCTCAAGTGGGACAGTAGGTAAGTGCAGCGAGGTCTGTCAGGAGGGCTTTGCTAAGAGGCATAGATGGACTAAGGGGATAGGAGATGCAGAAGAGCTGATAGAATTGAGATTACTTTTGGGATGTGAAGCATCTGAAGGGAAGAGATGCCAACATCACAGATAGAGGGTCTGAGGATGGGTGGGGCTGAGAAGCAATGTTTGAAAGCCAGCAGGTACAGAAGCCAAGTCGCAGAATAAGCCAAACAGAAAGGCCTGAGAAGACCCCCTATACAAATACCTACTATCATCTGCTCTCACCTGAAGCCTCAGCAGCCAGGGCATGGGACTCCTGAGTGTCCTGGGGGGCACTGGAGAGGCTAGCCCTGGAAGCATCCGCCTCTTCTGGAGAGCAGCCAGGCTGTAGTGGCACCTCAGCTTGGTAGCATGGAGCCTGTTCCTCTTCCCGGGTTGTCCCCAGACTCCAGTGGAGTCGGGGGACGTCCAAGCCCAGCATCCCACCCCAGGGACTGTGGCTGTGCATCCCTTGGCAATCTTGAGGCAAGCCCAAGTCACAGTCTGCATCCTCTGGAATAATGGGGATGCGCTGGCTCAGGTCCCGGGCCCCTGCATAGCAGCTGGGTGGGGGTTCCTCAGTGAGCGTGTACTGAACACTCACCGAATAGTCTTCAGTGTAGCAGCCATTGCCCCTGCCAGCACTGTGGGCCACCTGCTTCTCTTCATAGAAGCAGCAGGGCAGGCCCTCATATTTTACCGCATCTGTCCTGGGAAAATGGTCTGAGTGAAGGCCATATAGGCCCTGGGAGCTCCCTGCTTGTGGCTCCCCACTTGTAGGATTGCAGTCCTCAAGGAGCCGGGGACCCAGGAATAAGGTGCTGCCACCAGCAGCTGCTCCGGTCCCATGGCCCAGGGAAGAGGGCTGGGGCTCGAAGCAGCAACTACATGATGGTCCCTCTGAGCCCCCTTTCCAGGTCCTCCTGAGGTCCAGGGCGGCCCCAGGAGAAACCTCGAGCCCCACTTCTGAGGTAGAGCTGTTGGGCCCTCTGGGTTCCAGTGAGGAGTTGCTGCTGTAGTTCATCTCCAGGCTGCAGGTGGACAGCTGGTCCCCTGAGGGAGAGGCAGGGCCTAGCCACGGCTCACCCCGCCCAGCACCTTGACTGTGTGCTGCTGGGAGCTCCTCTGGTGGTGGGGAGCCTTCAAGGTGTAGAGCAGGCCCCCTGCTGCGGTAGATGAAGGGGTCATAGTCACTGCTGAGGGAGCTGCGGAAGGTGGAGCAGCTCCCATACACACCTTGGTTGCTGACTTCTGTGCAGTCCAGCACGGAGTCACTGGAAGAGCAGCGGCACTGGCCAGAGCTGCTGCTGCTACTGTCACTGCCGGGACAGTCTGCCAGGTAGCCACTGCACACAGAACGGTGCCCATGGTAGCAGCTGAAGCTGGAAGTGCTGCCACTCTCCACATGGGTAGGAGGGGCCATGTGCACCACAGTAGGGAAGAGCAGGGTGCTGCCACTGCTTGGTGGGAAGGCACGGGATGGGCCCCTGGGTGTGAGGCTGGGTATTGGCTGCCCCTCCTGCTCTGGGTAGCTGAGACCCTGGAAGTAGTAGTGTTGGTACATGGTCTCATACTGGGAGAAGCAAGCTGCCTTGGAGAAGCTTCGGCCACTGAACTTGGGCCTGCGGAAGGGATGGGCTGGTGAGTAGGCCCGGTGTTCCAGGCTGCAGCGGTGAGGGGCCAGAGTGTGGTCCAGGTGCAAGGGTGGGTAGCCACGGATGTAGGTGGGAGTCTGTGGAGAATAGAGGTTCTGCTCCCCATGCCGGTCCATGGTCAGCAGTGTGACAGGATTGCCATGGGAGTCCATACTTGTCCTAGTAGGGTAGGCTGGGATGGCATTGGTCCTATGCACACGGCCTGGGTAATGTACTGGCAGGGTCACTCTTGGCTGCCGACCACGTGTAAGATTGCTGGTCTCCACACAAACAGCACCTGGATTTCCCTTTTGTTCTGGAAGAGATGGAGGAGATAAGGTAATGGGCGGAGACTGAAGCATCAAGTGAAGCTATGTACTAGGGAGTCTATGCTTGACCCTGTCACACTGTAAACTGTCTCCAAGTCCAGCTCTGAGCAGGCAGAGGCTGACCTGTCTTTTCCCTCATCTTCCCACACAGGGTCTATAGAGAGTAAATCAAACACAAACATGAAAATGCCTCCCACCCTGCCCTGTAATGATGACACGGGTGCAGCAATAAACATTGCTATTGCATATTCATCCTCCCTTGTGTCCCTGGAAACAACCCTGTAGTCTAGACCTGGGCAGTCAACATTACTGTCTCTGTTAAAATAGACAGGGGGCTTTCGGCCTAGAAAGGACAGGTCAGGATGCTGGGGTTTGTTGTTTTTACTTTCCTCAGACATGTACCTTGCCCAGGCCTCCCAACTTGCTATAACTAAAGATGACACTGAACTCCTGCCTCTACTTCCCAAGTGCTGGGTATACCACTACACCAGCTTGGAGTCTACTTAATTGGAAACCCAAACTTGACCCCAAGGGGGAGTACCGGGGGCCAAACTTGGGACCTTGCACAATCTAGGCAACAGTTAGCTTCTGAGTCACATCATCTACCCCTAAAAGTGATCCTTAATGCCAGGCTCTGCTTAGAATTATACAGCCAAGTTTTAAAACCCAAGGCCTACACATCTACAGGTCTACAAGACCATGCTGTGTTGGTTCAGTTTGCGCATAACGCTATAGAATGTATCAAGCACTTATCATACTTGGTAGGGACCATGTCCTCCAAGGTCTGTAATAATTACCTATGATGTTGTGCCGACAGTGGGGGCAGGTGTGGTGCTGCAGCAGCCATGGGTCTACACATTTCCTGTGGAACCGATGGGTACAGGGGATGACCCGGAGCTCCTGCAAAGGGAGAGAGGGAAACAGCGTGAAGGATGGACTGAAGGGAAAGCACTTCTGCTTTCACCCTTACACATGTGCCTCCTCCGATGGACCCTATGGGAGGGAGTCTGAATAGCTCTGTGCACTGTTTTGGTGCTCTCCTGTTGTAATATGGATCTTAAGTGTTCCTAGCTTGGCAGTACCAGGAAGGAAGTCCTAGTGGGATCTGCTAAGCAACTCTGAACATTTATTTATTTTAGTTTTTTTTTTTTTTTTGCCTCTGCCTCCCAAGTACTGGGATTAAAGGTGTGCACCACCACCACCTGGCTTATTTATTTATTTATTTATTTATTGAAAGATTTTATAATGTATACAGAGTTCCATCTGCATGTTTGCCTGCAGATCAGAAGAGAACACCAGATATCATTACAGATGGATGTGAGCCACCATGTGGTTGCTGGGAATTGAACTCTGGACCTCTGGAAGAGCAGCTAGTGCTCTTAACCTCTGAGCCATCTCTCCAGCCCTATTTATTTATTTTTAAGCTTGATGATACATGTTATTAGAGATAAAGAGAAAATTTTCAGGGCAGGAAAACAGTGTATCTCAGTAGTTGCTCAGAGGAGAATGGAGGTGAGAAGGAAGCCATGCCACTTAAGCTAAGCTGGCATAGGGTCAGATACATGGAGAAACAAAGAGCAAAGGATGAGAAAAGGAGAAGAAACATTTTTGTGAATAATTCAGAAACACAGACAGACTTACAAAACAGCACAGCTGCATTTTGCAAGAGACTGCCTTTATTTTTACTTTTAATTATATGTGTGCAGTCTGTACTGAGGTGTGCATGTGAGTGTAGTTGCCTGAGGAGGGTAGAAGAAGGTGCTGGTCCCCTGGAGCAGGAGTTGTAGGTAGTTGTGAACAACCCAATATGGGTTTTAGGAACTGAACTCATTCTCTCCAAGAGATGCCTAACTGCTGAGGCATTTCCCCAGTCCTATCCATTACATGTTCTTGTCATGCTATACTGCTTCCCTAAAGGATTGCAGGCAAATGATCAAGGGCTAAAATGTCCAAAATTGTGTGCTGAAGCAACTTTGCTTTCTATATGTTTATTACTGCAGACATTTGTTATAGGAAAAGTTAAAATATTTCCTACTCTCTCCCCAAACTCCAACTAAAGGCCAGTTTCATTCCTTGAAATAGGGCCAATAGGGAAAAGGAAACTGTTCAATCTGCTTGGCCCAATTATAGTCCTCAGGGCTGAAGGACAAGCAACACAAGGAAACAGATTCCTTTCCAGGAACTGGAGGGCATAACTAAGTCCAAAGCTTCAGGCTAGGGAGCATACGGTTTGCAGGAACAGTTATAAACACGCTAGGTAATCTATGTTGGTTTATAGCAGTGGTTCTTAGCCTATGGGTTGCGATTCCCCAACCACCTGAAAACACAGATATTTACGATACATAACAGTAACAAAATTATAGTTATGAAGTAGCAATGAAAATAATTTCATGGTTGTGGGTCACCACACATGAAGAACTCTATTAAAGGGTTATAGCAGATGGTTGCTTCTAGGTACCCTCGAAGGAGAGGTCAAGTAGAAAGGAACACTTACTGGGGCCCACCTGGCGTCTAAGGAAAGTAGCCTATGATAGAATGTGAGCTTTTCAAGCATCCTCTGGACTGTTTTTGTTTTGCTTTTATTTTCTCACCAATCTGACACAGTGATATTCACACTAGTAACCAATATGCTGCTTTAGAATACCTGTATCTTCTCACCTAAGTAGCCTTTGTGAGCACTTAGTATGCTGATTGGCATCAAAACTACAGACACAAACCAAGAACCTGCAAGGCTAGGTTGGAATCCAGGAGCCTGTACCCACAGTCCAAGCAAGAGTATCATTCCAAGGCTTGTGTGCAAACACATGGGACCAGCAATCTAAACATCAGTGGGTGCTCTCATTCAGGCCTGTCCAAGGTCTAGACTCTCAAGCAGTTTGCTTCCTGCTTTGTTTGTATCAATCCAACTAGAGACAGGCAAAAAAAAAAAAAAAAAAAAAAAAAAAAGCAAAATGCTAATGACAGGTGGTTCTAGGTGAATGGTCTAAGCTGATCCTTTCTTGCAACTTTTTTTCAAATTTTAAATTATTTATTTATTTTACATACCAGCCACAGTTCCCCCTCCCTCTTGTAACTTTTAATGGAGAGAAAACAAAGGCATCAAATAGTTTGACTTTTTCCAAGTAAACACACCACTTCTTCAAAGCAAAGCAAACAACTTGTTCTTAAATCTATGTATTTTCTGTCTAACCATGTACTTTGTTTGTTTGTTTTGTTTTTGGAGCTAGGACTCTAAATTCACAATTCTCCTGATTAGCCTCTCAAGTGCTAGAATGACAGCCATGTGCAGTCATGCCTGACACCCATGTTCTTTTGATCAACTTCTAAAGTCACCCACTTAGCCAGATCATCTACAGAATATTGTGTCTTCCCAGCCCCTAGGAGAAATACCTTTAAAAGCCTGAACATTCTGATTGTGGGGAACTCTGGCCACAGTGGTCCCCAGTACTCTGGGAGCCTGTACATCCCCTTCCCACCCAAGACAAGCCTTGTCTCTGTTACTACCTCTCCATCAATATACTTCTCCAGACAGATGGCACAGTCAGATGTGGAGCCGCTGCTAAGTGTGTCCAGTGCCCCGCAGCTTCCTTCCCGGCGCCCCTTGCTCTTGGAGTTGAACTTTCTGGTTTCCATCTTCTCCAGAGCCTGTACAGCCAGCCTGTTCATGGAATTCTGCATGGTAGAACATGGTCAGTGTTAGTAGATATTAACAGTGGCAGTCACATCCCAGGCCATGGCACTCATGACACTGGGATAGGCAACATAGTCTACCTCAGGTCAAACAGAATCTTGAGAAACTGCTCAGAACCCATCATCCTGCAACTGTATATTCTAGGTCCTTCAAAGTGCCCATGACACTGGTTCAGGTTCTTCCCAAGTGACCCTACTCCAAAGTCTTGCCTTCAAGGTAAAACACAATTCCCTCTCTGGTACTTCCTGATTCTGTGGAACTTGGTTTTAGGAAGGCCCTCCTTGTTGAAGGAAGGTAGGGAAATGAGAGTTCACATGAGTGCTCAGCATTTGATATATAATACAAGCCCATTATCCCTGTTCTTACTGGTAATGGTCCCAGCCTTCCTGACAACTGAAATCACCTTCCTTTGACTATCACTTTCCCAAGGTGTCATACTGCCACACATCTCAAAGCATAGATTTGTGCTTACCTTCCTCTCATCACCCGCTGCCTGGAGGTCTTTATTTCTTGTAAACTGCAGTGATGGGTTGGCTAGAGTACTACTATAGCTATTTATTTAACAGTAGTCATTGGAAGGGCCCAGCAGAGGTAAATTTCATCACAAGACCTGGGAACCTGATAGTCTGTATTTCTATCAACCCTAGATCTATGTACTGGAGGAGCAAAGGTCTCATGCTCCAAAACAACATTTATTTGAACATCTCCCTCAAGATTTTAGCTCGGAATACCCCCCAATGTAAGCCTGTAGTGAGGTAGTCCTTCTGTAGCACTGACCACGCCCATTGGGGGGTGGAGCGATGGGCGGAGGTGACCTGAGGAAGGAGGTCGGAGGGGGCCAGGAAGGCACTCTCTCTTTCTGGCGTGACTCAGACAGGAGAGGATCGGGTTGAATTTCCTGGTGTTCATCTGTCTAGGTTGTAAGTTATTTCTCCCTGAATAAACATCTATTCGGCCTATTTGTTTATCCTGATCCTTATTTACCGCAATATAAGCCTTTCTTTTCAACACGAGGGTTCAGTACCTCAAGTCTGGTATTTGCCATGCCACTGAGAAAAGATGAGTGCCACAGACAGCAGGCTGACTAGACCCCTAACTTTCATCAGCAACAAGGCAACAGGGTTCACAGGTTGTTCTTAGGAGTTACCTGACTACGACGCTGCTTCAGCTTGATTTTGACAAGGAGAATGAGGCAGACCAGGGATACCACGACGAAGAAAGCCAGGAAAATCCCCATGTCAAAGTACTCAGTGGGTTGCTAGAATAGAATACAAGTGACATGAGCATGTCGGCTGTCAGTCCTGGTCAGGAAATGGGGTGGGTGAATGAGCACAGGATCTCTCAGTGTGTAGGATGCTCTCAGGGTTTTGCTCAGATGAACAGTGATGGTGCCTTAGTGTGTCTAGAATAAGGGTGGGGGAGCTGCAGTGGCCTCAGGACTCCCAGTAGCTGAGAGAGCCAGTTTTAAAGTTTGGTCTCCTATTAAAACAGAGAAAAGTTTGGTATACCCAGTGAGAAAGGCCCCTCTGAATAAACACAAATAATCACAGTTATAGATAAAGGAATGAGTGTTATGTTTTGAGGAAACAGTGATTACTAAGCATGTAATTAAAGGTTTACAACAACTTAGAAAATTGTATGGTGCTTCCACAAATATCACCTTCCACTACAATGAGTCACGTTTACCAAAGAGTTCCTTTTTCCTTTAAAAATGAAGCCAGTAAATCAGTTCTGCAAACGCCCCTTGTTTCTTTCCTTGGGGTGGGGTAGGGTGTGTGAGGCAGCATTTATCCTAAACTGCTCTTGACCTTGCTGTGTACCCGAAGATGACACTGAATTTCTAATCCTCCTACCACTACCTTCTAAGTACTGGGATCACAGTTGTGCCTTTATAGCAGCTTTATGCAGTGCTGGGGAATGAACTCTGGGCTTTGTGGATGCTAGGCAGGTCCTCTCCCAACTGAACTGCACTTGGTACTTATCTTTTCTGCACAGAACACTGCCTTCTACTATCTGAAGCTGCTGCACCTAGGACATTCACTTAGCCAATAAGAATAGGACCCTCGTGAGATGCTGTGCTACCTAGATACTTGGTGCAGGTTAAAGAATCATTCTACACGGGAACAGTTCAGTAATTGTGAGAAGAAAAGAAAACACACACATGGACACCTGCCCCAGATTCCAATGTTAAGGAGATGTCAGTCAAATATCAGCAGGCAGTAATATTGCTTCAGCACAGTGAAGAGATGCCTAAATGCTTCTGGTCACCAACAAGTGTCAGTTCCAAAGAAGGAAGTATAACTGGGTGGTGGCAGTGCATGTCTTTAGTCCCAGCACTTGAGAGGCAGAGGCAGGCGGATCTCTGTGAGTTTGAGGTCAGCCTGGTCTACAGGGTGAGTGCCAGGATAGCCAGGGCTACACAGAGAAACCCTGTCTCAAAAAACAAAAACAAACACAGAGACAGAGAGGCAGAGAGACAGAGAGGCAGAGAGGTAGAGAGAGAGAGAGAGAGAGAGAGAGAGAGAGAGAGAGAGAGAGAGAGAGAATAGGTCTTTTTTCATCTCTAGGTCAAATGGAAGGAATGAGACAAAGGAAACCAAGTGCTAAATATGTCATCTCTTCATCTTTCTCGGCTTATCTCTAAGAAGGATGGGCTGAAAAGGGGCAACACCAGGTGAGACTTCATAGCTATTTTTGTAAGCTTTTTACACATTTTTACAAATAAAGAAATTTAGGTGAAAAGTTCTCTGTTCCCCTGTCCCATAGTTGAGCTCAACCCATATGAACCTACACTATGCCAGCATTTTAGATGTAGGGACAAGAGGGCTGAAAGCCGAAGCTCAAAGGAAATGAAGGCACTGATAGGAAAAGAGACAAGTTGCCACTCACTCGAGGAGGGAGGTGCTGGATCCTTGCTCGTGCTACTTTCTGCTTGTTGACAATGTTCATCAGCTTGATGGCGTCTGCACCCTTCACATACACCACTGGCCTCTTAAGAGGGTCTTCTGAGCCTTGGTTTAGCTGACAAAGAAGAGAGGGTACCAATTAAAAGACTTGCTTACTTTATGAAGCAAAAAAGGGTTTTGAATGTTGAATGTGGCTCAGTGGTAGAGCATTTGTCTGGCACATGCAAGGTCTACCTTTTATCAGACATGTGCCCGTGCATACACACACACACACACACACTCTCTCTCTCTCTCTCTCTCTCTCTCTCTCTCTCTCTCTCTCTCATGCATGCATATACAAAAAAAAAATCACTAAATCTCCACTTGGAAATTCTTAAAGTTTTCAAGCATTATAGCCTTGAGATTCCCAGAAAAGTGAGGATAGTATGCTATACGTGTCTTAAGATGGGTTGAGCTGGCTGATGCCCAGAAGACTAATTGAAAATGTCCCTCATCCCTAACCCAAACTCATAACCACTTTCTATACGCCTCCCCCTGGGTATGATACTCAAACACGGGCATATTACCTCAGCAGACAGGTACAAAGAATCTGAGGCAAGGGTGTTACAACAATGTCCACTCAAGATAACCAAAGCAAATGCCTCTCGGGCAGACAGTAGGACTGGTTTTAGTGGGCAATTACCTGGTCAATGGCTTCTGGGTTTTCAGATACATCAAAGATTACTGCAGTGGCTCCCCGCTGAACTGCTCTCTTGGCCTGGTGGAATGAAAAAGAACAGGTTGGCAACTCTGCCTTCTGACCCTGCTAACCCTGGCCAGCCTTACAAATCAGGCATGGCTTTACATGTAGAATTAGATACCAAGCAGTATCTTTGTCCCTGAACAAGTTGTTCTGCTTTCCCACATCTTGACATTCTCATCTGAAAAACAGAGACACCAACACCTACTTTGTCCTATCATCCCAAGAGCCTGGTTACTTAGAATGGGTGAAGATGAGTACCTGATACTGCAGAAGCCTGTCTCCCCTATCTAGCTGGAACATTAAAATCAAGTCTATGGACAGGCAGCTTGCCCAACTGGTACAGAGGTACTAGTCTTGGTACTTTCTGCTAGAACACACTGCCCTTGGCAACCACTTTATTTCTTGTGGCACTTTCTTCCTTCCCATGCCCATCCAGTTAGAACAGCATGTTGACTATTTCTGAATGAATCTCAAAATGGTCACTTTTGGGGAGGGGGGGCGGACAGGGTGGTTACAAGTAGGGATTTAGAACAGTTGGCTGCCAAGCCTAGCTGCACATCAAAAACCACTTGGGAAGTTTGTAAAGCAGATTTCCTGGCTCTGACCACAGAGACAGGTTTAGTGGGGCTGGAGACAGGTTCAGGAAGCTGAGTTCTATAAGTGCTCGGGACTCAGGTGATCCTACCAGTTGGAAAACTAGAAGTCAGAGGGACAAGACAAGAACACTTAGAAACAAATGAGAAGTGATAGATTTTTTATTGTTGTTGGGGTAGAGGAAAAGATGGGAGAAAAGATTCCTCTCCACCTCAGTGAACCTTCCTTTTAATTTTATCATCAGCAAACTGAACAAGAGTTGAGTCTGCAGAAGAATAAATGAGACAGACCCTTGCTTTTAGGATTTGAACTACTGTAACAGAGACAGCTTCTCATATATATGGAGGAAAACAAAACAAAAAAAATTTCAAGACTAGCATGCTCAAAGATGGGAAAATATAACTAGTGCTCAGAGGTTATGTCACACAGTGAATAAATCCAATAAATAAACAAAGAATAAATCCAAATTCCTTCCACAAGAATAATCTGTACTGAGGTGCACAAACCCAAAGGGCATCAACAAGAAAGACCCATGACTTTACTGGACCACTAGAGGGCAGTGTCACCTTGTTGTTTTTAAGCCAATCTCCTGCACTTGAGAAGCAAAAATTAGTGATACTGGGGATAAAGCATGTTCCTTGGAAGCTTAAGAAATCCAGGAATCCTGAGAGCAATGCTGTAGGATATGTCCTTGCCCTACAGGTAGCTTCCTTAAAAACAAATTGAGACTGAACAATTAGAGAGTCACTGTTTTATCACTCAATGATCACAAGTGACCAGAGGGTTGTTCCTATCAAGCCTTTTTCTTTTTCTGCTAGGTAGAGTTGGGGTCAAACCTGGGCTTTATTCGTGGTAAGCAAGTGTTCTACCACTGCATCTTAAGTCACTGAATCTTTCAGTCCCAGCCTCAGAACAGCCATGGATGGCCCTATACGAGGCCAAGGTGAGGTGGCATGACGTTCTCTTCCATTAAGCTCCTTAGGACATCAGATCTCTACCTGAGGACAGCTCCTAGACTCCTGAGTAGGTGCTTTTATTTCTGGCCCAGTAGTACCCTAGGCTTCTTCACAAATTCCATTCCCAGAGGAAGAAATAAGAGGGTCTCTCATTCTTTTATTCTGCTTCCATTCAAGGATCCAGCATATCAAACAGTACCTGTAGGAAGTGTGAGTTCAGGTATGCCCTGACTGGAGTACTTGTCCCTCCCTCCAGCTTTGACATTGGTGCACCTGGACAGGCTGGCAGAGGCTGCAGTGCCTGAGTAGGGAATGCCTTCCTGGAATGTGCCTCAGGGAAACCACACAGCCAGAGAGAGGGCCTCCTTGGCTTCCCAGGATTTCTTGATTTAAAAGAACATGAACATTCATTTGTTTCCGAGGCATGACCCATCCAGGACAGACATCACAGAGCTGGGGGTGAACCCTGGGCCTCATCCATGGGCCTCAGGTATATATATATATACTTTACCATAGGGCTACACTCTCAGCCATACAAAAGCTACTTTAAAACATACATGGTTTTGTCAGTCATGGTGGCGCACATCTTTAACCCCAGCACTCAGAAGGCAGAAGCAGGGCAATCTGAGTTTTAGGTCAGTCTGATCTACAGTGTGAGTTCCAGGACAGCTGGGGCTACACAGAGAAATCTTGACTCAAAAAACAAAACCAAGTCAAAAACAAACAAGCAAAAATACCTTGTTTCTTTGTTGAGGTAGGCAGGTAGAGAATAAAGTGCTTAGATCTCATCTACAAGCCAACCTCAGACAAATCACTATTGCATGGAATCTAAAGCTGTGGCTGAGATTGCTTGATTTTCAGTGAATTACATTAAAACTTTTATTTATTGAGGCTGAAGATGTAGCATAATTGGTAGAATGTAGGTCAACCATACATGAAGCCCTAGCACTTTATACAGGGATCCTTAGCATGGTATAAAACTTAGTGTGGGATCTGTAATTCCAGTATTTGAGAAGTAGAGGCAGAAGAATCATAAAATTCAAGGTCATTCCTGCAACACAGAGTTTGAGAGCAATTTAGATCACATGAGACTGGATTTTTTTAGATTATATGTATAAGCATTTACTGAATACTTTGTATTTCCAGCACATATCAGGACTGGATGGAAGGAGATCCTACTGAGATCATGCCCACTGGAAGGTGAGTGCTTTAGAAAAGATGGCTGGGTATATTACTTAGTGGTAAAGTGTAATAGCATGCATTTATCCCGAGTTTGTTTAATCCTCAAGAAAAGGCCACCAGTAATCTTCATTTACAAAATGAGAACTTTCATAGTATTTTATTTTTTCTAAATAAATTATACATACATAATTTATTTTTATTTTGTTGGCATTGGTGTTTTGCCTGCATGTATGTCTGTGTAAGGTGTCTGACCTTGGAGTTACAGTCAGTTTAACTGCCACATGGGTGCTAGGAATTCAATTCAGGTCCTCTGGAACAACAGTCAGTGTTCTTGACCACTGAGCCATCTCTCTAGCCCTTTCATTATATTTTAAAAACATAAAATATTGCTTGGTTACACTTCTCTTCCTTCCCTAATGTAATTTTAAAAACTTGAGGAGCAATGTTCTTTGAACAAATTTTCCAATTTTATCTAGTCAACTGCCTGCCAGACTATTGTATTTCAAACAAATCTAAATCCTAGCTAGAACATTACCAGTTTTGTGACTAGTGTAAACTTTATTTTTATGACCTTATATCCTTAAAGATGCTTGAAAGGATGGAAAGACAGCTTGGCAGGTGAGGGTCACTGGCAAATTGGGTTCATGGGAATGAAAGACCAAGAAAAGGCTATGGCTTCCTCAGAAGATGTGTGACATCCTGGCAAAACTGAGTAGCAGCCAAAGGCCTTGCCTTGCTAATCCTTCCTATCAGAGGTATCTTCTTGTTGCTTTTATCCTTATGTAGGCCAGCACAGGTGGAACCAAAGGGAGGTAAACAGAACATGTCAGCAAGATGTTTGTAGGTGATGCAAGTAACAAAAGGGCAAAATCTGTATACTTCTAATTTACACAGCACAAAATTTGCAACCTAAGAAGGCAGGACCCTACTAATTAGTTATACTTTTACGACAATTAATCAATGTTCAGTAAATTGAAAGGAGCCTGTCTCAAACCATACTCAGGTTATGGCAAATAGAGAAAGTGCTCCCTGACCAAGGGGGTTCATTCATAAGACCAAGTCTATAAACTCCCAATGCAGACAGCAGCATTCTGATGAGAATGGTTTTGTTACAATGGTTTATAGGGAGGTAGGTGTGTGTGTGTGTGTGTGTGTGTGTGTGTGTGTGTGTGTGTGTGTGTGTGTGTTTCTCATGTGTGTGGTTATATCCAGAATTGGTTTGGGGCTTAGACCTACCAATCAATAGCTGCCCTTTGGAGTCTCTAAGATATATTAGGTTTTATTAGTTTACTTATTCCTTGGTTAAGCACTTAGACCCTAGTGTCTAAGCTTTATTGTACAAAAATTATAATCTCAGTAGGAAATAACAAAAAATGTCAGAAAAATCTTTGCTCTGGATTCTTTTTTTTAATATTTAGGTCTTTAAAAAAATTTGAAAAAGATTTATTTATTTATTTATTTATTTTTGTATACAGTGTTCCGCTCTGAGCCATCTCTCCAGCACTGCTCTGGATTCTTGATGAGGAAGTAACCAAGGAGTTGGACTGTCAACAGATAATTGGAAGATGTGCCTATGGTTTCTTATGGGAAGTTCTGATATATAGAGATTCCAGTGGCTCTACTGAATATAATTTTATTCTCTTTCTTTTTTAAATTCTTCACATAAACTACCAACAAGTTCTTAAAAACCCTTTCTGCCTTTGGCAGTCCTGGGATCAAACCTAAGGCACTGTATATGGCTAGGCAAGCACTGAGCTATTTCCCTACCCTCTAAAATATACCTTTAAAAATTATTTAATTTAAACATTTATGTACATTAGTGTTTTACCTGCATTCATGTCTGTGAGGGTGTTGGATCCTCTGGAACTGGAGTTACAAACAGTTGTGAATTTTCATGTTTGTGCTGAGAATTGACCCAGGTCCCCATGGAAAAAAACCTCTTCAGTCCCATTATCATCATCATCGTTAACATGGTTATTATTTAAAGAGGGTCTTGTTATGTAGCCTTATTCTGTAACCTAAGCTGGTCTTGAACTCACGACCCTGCCACCTCAGCAACCCAAGTGCTAAGATTACAGGTATGTACCAAATGCCTGGATTCTTGAAAATTTGTTTGCTCATTTTGAGACAAGTCTTACCATGAGTCTTGTTTGGCCTGGAACTCACTAAATAGACCAGACTGGCCTCAAACTCATAGGGATCCCCCTGCCTCTGCATGTTGGGATTAAAGGTGTATGTCACAACACCCATGGTGTTATGTCCCTACATAATCTCTACTCCTTT